AAAGCCTCAAATGTCCAGACATGATTTGGATAGAGTTACCGGGAAATTAGGAATACACTGAACTCTGCTACAGTGACGCTTTAAAGGTACTGTCATTTGATTATGAGTTGTAAAAAAAAAGCTGAAATAAAAAAAATATTAACGAGGTCTTTTTACTTTACAATGTTATTACATGATTCATGATAATTTCATCTTGGCTCGTTTGGCAAATGAACGCATGGACAAAAGTCGCAAATTTCATACTTATAAAAACTGTGTACAATATAGGCTCTAATCATTATGAGAGAAACTTTCCCCAAACTCGAAATAAAAAATATGAAGCACCGAGGGCGCATACACACAAAGGAGTGAGACAGAGAATATTCCTCTATAAAGAAATTATTTATTATTCTCTTTTCAAAGATTTTTATGATATATTTCTGGGTAGTTCATTTCAAGTGATTCATTATAAAAATCTTAGATATCCAGATGTTGGATCTAGGATAGTTCTTTAAAATAGCAGACCTGAATAATGGGCACACTTGACTCGGCAACCTGAGAAGTGACCGATCGTTGATCCGAAACTAAAATAACACTACGAGTACTACTTGTATATTATCAGTGAATCACCTTTCAGTGTTCTATTTCTTAGGTCAATGGACAATGGAAAATCAACTCTAACGATGTTCTCACCATACTCACAAAATCGGTCCTACTTTTCTGACAAACATTTCATTAATACCTTTTTATGTTTAAATTGATATATCGCTGTATTTGCAGGGTTTTGACATAAATTTATATCATAAAAGAAGCAGTACGGTGGTGTAGCACATTCTGCAAGAATATTACTACGCTTTTCTGTCTGCATAGGAATTTGTATAAAGTTTCCAACTGTGTTTATGAATATAAAATCAAAACACCTCTCAGTTTGAACCAGCTTGAATTTGAAATTGGTCTAGAATGCACACACGGTGGTATAATTGGTCCCATACGACCGTGTGAAGCATATGGCTGCAATTACTAAATTTCTATTACGTCATTGGAAATTAGTTTCCAATGATCTTGTCGTGAATTTTGTAGAAATCCATTGGAAAAATCATACCAATATAGCAGCACTATTTACTTTCTCTAATATTCGACAGTATGGGGAGATATATAATTTATATAGAGAGAGCGAGAGAGAGAGAGAGAGAGAGAGAGAGAGAGAGAGAGAGAGAGAGAGAGAGAAGGGGAGGGGAGAGAACTCATTCCGTTCTCGTGTACAAAAGTTTGCCGAAATTGGTCGAGTTTAAACGAAGTTTACCGAGTTTACCATAAACAAAGAAAGTTTTCCCCAAGTATGATATTCTCACAATCATATTAATGCACGGAAAATGACCCCAACCAACCCCTGTCAGCCTTTCTATTCTCACCATAAAATGTTTTGTGCTACCGCTAGATGTTTCTTTTCTTTCCGTGCTTGTGTTGTTCTTTTATTTGAACAGCCCTGCGACAAATCAAACGTCAAAACTTGCTAGCAGTGGCACGGCTTGTGTATTGCCATTGAGGGGGCATCGATGGTCGAGGGAGGAAAGGGGGGGGGGCATCTGTCTTGATAGTTGTAAAGAAAGGGCGTTGTAAGAGGAAGGGCATGGGAAGGCTGGCATCATCTTTTTCATGTTACCTTTCCTCTCTCCTTTCGTCTCTTCATCTCGTGTCCCCGTTTGACATTCAATGGGGCACGTGCCTCGAGCCCCTGCCCCCCCTGCCTACGCCACCGCTCTCCAGAACATACACTTAAAGGGGCATCCCGCTGGTACTGGAATCTAGCTCGTCAACGCCGAGACCCTTCGAACACGTTCAAGGTGGGGCCTAGCTAAACAGTGGTAGAACTCTATGCGGCCACTAGCCACAAAGTCAGGTTTGAGAATATCGCAGGTGTTATTCTGCAAGGAAATATTACGAGGATCCCACGAGAAAAGAAAAAGGAAACGTCATTCGCTGTGTCCATGGACCATGCTGTATCTGACTATTGTCATTTTTTGCTTATGCTTGCCTTTTTACTTTCTTATATTTGCTGTACTTCAAGAACTTATCGGGATACCCATTTATCAAAAACACTGTTGATATTCTTTAATGACCATACTACAAAACATGAGAAATTTTAGCCCTGTAATCATTCCTCTATTAAGCATAATTTATGAATCAGAATTTTGGCAAAATAACCTGCATGCGGGTGAGCATATTTTCCAAAACAGGATATTGAGAGGCTGTTTTGATTTGCATAGTTGGCAAAATTGTGCTAGAAATTAACTTCCGATTTTTTATATATTTTTAGGGGGAGGGGGTACTGCTCGAATTTGGTACAAAACTATTCATTTATATAATTGGAAGAAAGTGATTCTGGCCATTTTATATCACATTGCATGAGTTCTTTCTAATGTACAAAAACGATACTCTTCTTTCTGTCTGATTCAAAATGCTCTCATCTAATCTCCCGTCCCTTCGAAACAGTCCGTCTGGTGTGTCGTTTTTATTGTTTTGACACACTCTCAAGTCCATGTCGCACGTGACGAGAAATCCTTCATTAACTATCAGTGGAACAGGTTATCCTAGTCCAGATAGGACTAAAATAGATAAAATGGTAGGAAGCCAAGAGCTTCCATTGTAGATTGCCTATCTAAAAAAATGATCTTACAAAGCAGAAACTGTGTAATAAGCGTCCACTTTACTTTAATATTTTGAAATTATTGTCGACAGAAAAATGGATTTTTGTTTTCTTTCTTCCAAGAAGCCCATTGGTGATTAACAATAAAATATATTTATTGGGAAGGGACTGGGAAATTTGAATTCTTCATTTTCTTCATCTGGGACACTCATTTTAACACTCAATGGCGTACATGTAGTATGGGTCCAGCGTGAGAGGGGGGGGGGGAGGGGGGGGGGGGGGCACCTGTCTTTCGGTGCATAACTTGTGATTTAACAATGTTTGCAACGAGATCTATCGTGTTCATAATGGTCTTTTGAAATGGTATGTATTGTAAATACCCTTTTAGACTATAAAACTGAATTATGAACTTTATGAACTATATTAGAGACCGCCTAGGCTTCAAGACAATGGAAATGTCTATACACAGATAATAATATTCTCGTATAAAAGGTGATCTAGGTGACCTTTATTATTATTCTGTTTGTTTGTTATGCTCTTGAAACATTATAATACTGAGCTAGATTAATGTACATCGTTATGCAATGTTTGAGGCCCCGAATCCGGCTGGAAGGCCAATGTGGATAAAGTGAATCTGCACAAATAAATCCAAAATCGTTACATGTATACCGCGTTTCCTGATTACAATAAAGGAGATAAATTACTTTTTGAGCTCCAAAGAACGTGTTTCATGCATCATTTATCATCAATTCACGAGCCCAAGGATATTTTCCATTGTGTTCAGTTTGAATTCGGCCACGATTCGACGTTAAGCAAGACAAATTATAATTTCTACAATTATATCTTCTCAAGAATGAATGAACCATATCATGCACGAATACTGAGTCAATCATTTACTGTTGTTTAGTTAATTTTATGAGGAAATTTGATGAATAAATTTCATTCAAGACACAGCACACAAGATGATTCACCACACTGATCTGTTTTTTTTTTCTTCTTCTAATAATTGCCTGTACTGTAAGCATTTGCTTGCCAGATTGATGAATGGTACCCACAATTGCAAACAGTTCTTTATTCAAATGATATTGATAAAAATATTCAAAACAAGAAGGGAACGCTGATGAACGCTGTGGTTTTCAATTGCTTTTGAAACCCATCTAATTAATTACATAGAGCATTTGTCGTGAATATCATGCAAAACATATATCACACAGAATATGATATTCTTATCCGAAATAACATTACTCGTTCTTTATAATGTTATATCGCTCCAATCTACCAGTATGCCCAAGCTGAACATCAGTAATAATTTCCTTGACGTAATCGAGACCTCAGTTTTATTATTCAACAAAGGGTTTATCAGATCGATACGGTGTCAATGTTCAAACTTCAAAGGGCTTTGGGTTAGGAAAACAAATGAGGGCAATCATACCCCGCTGAAGATATTATCTGGGATGTGAATGTAGTTTTAAATGTTATCAGGGGTTGTGATCGTGTGAAAGAGTTTCGTGAGTTCGTGCGTAAAAATTGTTTTCTTATCATATTGTGATCACGGACTTGTAAAGGTATAATATTGCTTTTTGTTTGGGCAACGTGCACATTAAATTGCTAAAACGCCCACTTCATATAATACATATCGACGTACTGTCTTTTTTAATGCCAGCATAATGTTCGATTGGATTGTGTTGGTGATTTATCGTCGTGAATGCTACCAACCATATGCTAACAAGTATTTACACATAATTATAACATCCTTCTGAAAAATTCCGACAGGTTCATGAACAAAGCAAGTATTGAATGGGGTTTATCAACCATTTTTTCCCTTCTTTCTGGCACGAGTAGATTCCTTTGTACATTGTAGTGTGTACATTGTTGTATACTGCTATTGAAAATGTGCATGATCATCGGTTTACTCAAAATAACTGTAACACTTGATGCAGTATATAATATATTTCGATATGATAACGATACATTTATAGTAAAGAAACTTCAAGTAGTGTTGAAATACAAAACTGAGAGTGAATAGAACTGAATTATGTTGGAAATTGGGGAGGAAGGGGCCTGTGGGTGGAAATAACGCTTTGGGTGCGTGTGGTGATTACATTTTGAGGAGCAATTACTTTAGAGTACCTTACCCCCAAAGTTGACTAGACGTTCGTAGCTTAACCAATGAAGCTAAATCTAATGACCCAAGTTTCTTAGCTAACCCTTACCATAAGAATATCCCTAGGCGGTGGACATTCAAGTGAGAAAAAAACAATTGGTTGGGGTATTCTAAAATTAGCCAAAGTTGGGATGCATATAGGTGTACATTAAAAATTGATATTAAATAATGAGCAGACGTTCGAATGCATTGTTAAGCAAGGATACTTACCTCTCCATGGCATATCCATCTGGAGTGACAGTCTTCTGAACTCCGTTGATAACTTGCTCGTTCTTGGTGATATCAATGTCGTTGTCGGCGTTGACGACAATCCCATTGAACTCCTCCTCGATAGAGAGGCGTGTCCGTTACTACCGGTTGGAGTCGATGTCGAGACAGGAGGCGGGTGACGCCCTTTATGGGATGCCTTGGTAACCGCATCCAAGTCCCCATTGGCCACGCCCATCACACTCCATCTCCAGCTGGGGCTACTGCGCCCATTCTGAGATTTCTTCGGGCGTCGAACCACTGTCTTGATCCCGGAGTAGGTCTCCAATTCTTCCAAGGGGCTTATGGGGCTGATGCTCCGGGGTGACAGGTTGGAGGAGAGTAAATCCTCCCCCCGAATGGCTTTGCCTCTCTGAAGAGGTGGTCTGTTTCGAGGTGATGATGATGAGGAGGAGGAGGAGGAGTTCCTGTCGGCATCCGATTCCTCCGACGAACCCTCATCTTCCATATTCTCCGAGATGCTGCTGCAAGCGCTACTACTGGATCGCACTAGGCTGCGACGGTTGTACCGCAGTTTCTCTTTCGTCGGTGCGCTGAAATGAAGATTATTGTTATTACTGCTCAAATCTTCAAACTTCTCTCTCATCTGACTGACTCCCGTTTCCAACGCATCCAATTCCAAATGCACGTCTGATTTTCCATTATCACTCATGTTCGTAGGTGAAGACCGGTTAGACCCTCTCCGACCTAGCTCCATCATGCCACTTGATGAAGAACTCAGTGATGAATCGGGAGAGCTCGCAGGGCTACTAGCTGGACTGTAGCTTTCACTAGAACTACTATTGCTGCCGCTGGTCTTGCTGGTGGCACTACTGATCGATAAACTCCTGGCATCACATACCGTCACGGTTGGCAGCTGATTAAAATCGTTATGGCTACACACTGACTCATGTTCGACCACCGTCTCTTGGTTTGGCGTTAAATCATCACCAAGTTGACACGCAGCCATCGCGCGCTGACTAAAAACTAGCAGACAGGTACACCGTTAGTTTCCACAAAACTTGAGCCGACAGACAATAAGTCTGCTGTGCAAAGTGCAGTGCAACCGTCGAACTTTGATACGTGCGACAGAAGTTGTCAACCTCGAAGAGAGAGAGAGAGAGAGAGAGAGAGAGAGAGAAAAGGAAAATATTACACCCCCGAACCGAGAGAGGAAAGAAGTGCGTGTGCGAGTGAGTCAGGTGTACACAAGTTTGCAAAACATTTTGATCTGTTTGCTTCTAAATGTTTGTATTTGATGCGTATAACCAGACTGCACCTCCTATCTTATTCGACAGAAAACATTCTGGGCTATTGAAAAGCGATTTTTAAAAGCCGCACTTCCAATATTTGAACAATTGTCCCTAAACCCTTTCGCGACCTATGAAAAGAAAGCAACACACCCCTATTCTTTGTGTCCTTTCAGTCGTTGGGTCAACGAAGAGGTCGCAGTTCGACATCCTTGTTCTGCCAACTTCAATGTAGGGGAGAACTAGGATTATAATCAATATAGTTTCGATGGGAGTGTATGAGAGAATTACCATTGTTGTTCCTAAAATCAATATGCCATTCAGGCCAGGGTTGATATGGCACGTAAAATGTAAATGGATCAATATACCTTGGTCTGTCTGTGTATTCAACGGAGGTCAGGTATTTTAAATAAAATAATCGTGATATATTAAACATGTATCGAGAAGGGGAGAAGGATCCTGTAATTCTGTTTACATTCTTGATTATTATTTGAACAAAATAGTCACTTAAACACCAGGTTAGCTTATTAGTTTTAGTTGATGTAGTATGACTATGATAAAGTAGAATTCAAAGAGAATTTATAGAAACAATGAAATTAATTATTGTGGCTGGCTTAGGGGCACACAATTGGGTCTGATGAAGGAGGCAGCTGATTCAACTATCTAAGTTAAGGGAATAAAGCGAGCGAGGAAAAATAAATAAAATGAAACAAAATAAACTCTTAATGGGGATAGCCACTAGTGGTGCATTACGAATCTTTAACAATGATAGCGTTTTAATTTTCGTTAATTTCCAAAAACAACTATCAAAGATGAGAGTTTTAGTATGAAAACTATATTCTAGAAATTAAATGTATTAATTCATTGGAATATACATATTCAGGAAAAAAACATGATCAGCAAAGATGTTGTCCGTCATGGTTCCAATTAAGGACACACAACAGTATTTTTTTTAAATAAATAATCACGTAAATCCAACAGATACTACCAATTTTGTTGGAAATAAGACAAACATGTAGAATGATGAGTTTGCACCCCCCCCCCCCCCCCCCCCCCTTCCCGCGTCATATTTGCTGCATTGCTCTCCTTTGCTCAGATCACAGTTTGGTAAGGTTTATTTATTTATTTATTTGGTTTTGATTCGTTGTGCTTTGTTTTTCATGGGATATAATCATGTGTACCTTAGTGCGTCAAGATTAAATCTTCAATAAACTTCTTCAGATGCAAGTCATTACATGTATAATTATGATAACAGGTTTGTTATCAAGTGTGTGAAACTATTATTGCGACATGCCAAAAGAGGGCAGCATGCGACTATTGAAATTATCGACATGGCCCATGGGGGATGATTCTAACTTTCTCCAACCACTCGTCGCATAATACTTACATGTATTAACCCTCCCCCCCCCCTCTCTCTCTCTCTCTCTCTCTCTCTCTCTCTCTCTCTCTCTCTCTCTCTCTCTCTCTCTCTCTCTATACCTCTATTTTTATTACCTTGTCATTCACTTACAATCCAATCAAGTCAACCCATTTACTTATTGTCACAATCATGTTTATTTTTGTTATTATTGTTATTATCATTATTGTCACCATTATTATTATTGTAATTGTAATATTGTTATTCTTTCTATCATTATCATTATCATTATTATCATCATCATTATATATCGAAAATATTTAAAGAGGTATATTTCCTCTTTTCACGGGCGAGGGGGGGGGGGGGGGGTCGATGCGGGAGGGGTGTTGGGGAAGGGGCTAGGGACGGACCCTCCGTTCGACTAAAGGATCCGCCTACGGGTGTACTGACGTTGTATTAGTTGTTTCAGTTCCCCGTGCGTATTTCTTTTAAATACACTTTACTAATTGTGAGAGAAATGTTTTTTTCTTATCAACAGATCCCGTCTAGGAAAACTTGTTGCTGTGCAGGCGCGTACACACGCAGGGGGTTGGGGGTTGGGGGTTGGGGGGGGGGGGGGGGGGGGGGGGGGGAAGGGGTCGAACTCCCCCTCAATTTTTTTGTCTATGTGTGTGTGTTGGAGGAACCCCCCCCCTCAAATTTGTTTTGTGTGTGTGCAAAAGGGTGACCCAAAAAGATGACCTTACCCCCCCCCCCCCAACTGAACGAAATATTGGTCGGCCAAATTTTTGGGACAAAACAAAATTTTAAAATGTGCTCTTACCCCCCCCCCCCCCCCCCCCCCCTCCGGCGTAAAGAGAAATTTAAGTGTGATCAAAGTGCTGTAATGCAAAGTTCCAAACTACCACCAAAAAAAAGGTAGCTCGGTCGTAAATTTTTAAAATAAGGGTTTCGCTGAAATCCAAAGCTAATTATACTGTGAAATAATACAAAGTCTTTTTATTGGGTCTGATACCCTTGTTGTGTAATTGTGTTCCTATAGTCCTTCAGAACTTACTGACTCAGCCCCCTCAAAGTTTTTGACTCGTTACGCCACCATAGGTACTAATTGGCTCTCCTCAATCACTTTCAAGGAAGCGCAATAACGAGCTCCGTCATATTGTGCCCATAACGCGGGCAGCAGTTTTAGACATTTTATAACATTATTTTCCTTTGTTCTTTATGTTCTTCTCTCTTTCTATCTTTATTTTACCCTCACTCCCTTTATATCTTCTTCTTCCCCTTCTTCTCCTTTCTTCTTCCCTTTTTGTTTCCTTCTTCTTCCACTTCTTCTTTTTCTACTTTATCTTATGCTTGTCAGAATATGTTCCCCCGCCCGAGAATCTAGTATCCGACCTAGCAACAAGGGATGCCTTTAACAGCAAGCGCGTAGCCAGGATTTCATTTTAGGGGGGGCGGTAATGAGCACGCGAAGCATGCGAATCACTTACAGAGCGCGCGAAGCGCGCTCCCTAGGGGGTGGGTGCAGGGAGGGGGGAGTTTCCCCCCTCCCGCGCGAAGCGCGGAAGCTTTGAAAGAAGACGATTCGTTGTACCTTTCTCGACTCATAATCCTTGTCTGAATTCAGTCCCTCCCCCTCTCACGCGAAGCTTTGACGTTTCATTAAACTATTAGAGAAAAGAGACGATTCGTTGTACCTAATTTCCCGACTCATAATCCTTATCTGTATTCAGTCCCCCTCCCGCGCGAAGCGCGGAAGCTTTGAAAGAAGACGATTCGTTGTTCTTTTCTCGACTCATAATCCTTGTCGGAATTTAGTCCCTCCCTCCTCTCACGCGAAGCTTTGACGTTTCATTAAACTATTAGAGAAAAGAGACGATTCGTTGTACATAATTTCCCGACTCATAATCCTTATCTGTATTCAGTCCCCCTCCCGCGCGAAGCGCGGAAGCTTTGAAAGAAGACGATTCGTTGTTCTTTTCTCGACTCATAATCCTTGTCGGAATTTAGTCCCACCCCCCTCTCACGTGAACCTTTGACGTTTTATTAAATTATTAGAGAAAGAAGACCATTCGTTGTACCTTTCTCGACTCTTAATCATTGTCTGAATTCTGTCTCCCCCCCCCCTTTCGTGCGAAGTTTTGACGTTTCATTAAATTATAAGAGAAAGAAGACGATTCGTTGTAACTTTCCCGACCCTTAATCCTAAATTTGAACTCAGTTCCCCCCTTCCCGCGCGAAGCGCGGAAGCTTTGATGATTCGTTGTACCGTTCTCGACTCCTTTTCCCTTTTTCCTCCTACGTCCTCTTTTTTTTTTCTTCTCCTCTTTCTCTCTCTCTTTTTTTGGCCGGCGTTTTGGGGGGGGGGCGACCGCCCCCACCGCCCCCCCCCCCCTGGCTACGCGCCTGTTTAACAGCTGAACGATCTTCACAGTCACTGTTTATAATAAATGATAACAACGGCAATAGCCTATGGGCCTTTTTTTGCTCGGCTCTTCATGCACTCATGCTTCTTCCTCAACCGTTTCGTGGCGAAATATTTTATTCACCTGTTACGAGATATTTTATGGGCGTAAGTTTCATACGCCATGATACAGATTGCACAGGCGCAGAATTCATTCAGAACAGCCGATATGACGTAACAATGTCGGCTTATTCCCCAAGTGATTGAGACGAAATATGTTACTCATCTGTAATGAACTATTGGGTTTTGAGAATCAGGAAGAATATCACCTACATTTTGTTGTTGCTAGGTCGAATATGCTTGAATAGACAACGTTTGCGCAGGCGCCGATTTCACGCCGACTGATATGATACGTGCTATGTGTGTTTTTGTGTGTTACACCCTTTGCCTGACATATCAGTGTACTTGTGTATAGGCTAGATCGGCATGCTAGATCGCGGTTGCTGTATTCTGAGAAGTTAGTTCTCTGTGGAGAAAATCTTCCCTCATTTATTGCATCCTCGGATGTTTTAGTGTCGAAGAATCAGTATAAGGAGGCAAAGAGGTTAGTTATTCCTTTGAATGTTTTAGTTTATGATATTAAGATAAGAAACATTGTTTATTTGATGTGTAAGAAACCCCTTGTAGATAAAGTGATGAGTTTCTATTAAGATTGTGTGTGTGCCACAACTTTCAGTACATTAATTTGTGTACAATTGCTAACGTACAGTAGGCCTGTAGTTTAAGTACTTCATATCTCAGTCAGGTTTATTTACATAACTGCAAATGCAAGTGAAATAATGTGATGTTTACTTTGGTAATCTGTTTTATGTTGAATTGTTGGAATACTTACAAAGAGAAAGTGTGTTGAAATTGTACGATAATACTGGATTTACTGTTTGGTCGAGTATAAGAATTTGCTCAATATTGGTACCTTTTAGAGTGGTATAGCTTGATAAGAAGATTTACATGTACCTAACAATGCATCACATTTGAGAAATTACTTTTGGAGCCTGATTATTTTCAATGAGCATTTATACTTTGCCTTTTTCAGTATTGGTTTAAGTAAAAAATAGTTATAGACATTTATCTCTTAGCTTGTTTACATAATTGCATTTTTTTGCGTTCTTGTTTACAGTTTTCATGGAATGAAGAAATGAAGAATACGGAAAGCAGTGGAATTGATAAGAAATGAAGGAACAAAATAATGTGAAGCTGTTAGATTCCTAAATGAAGAGCGACATTCCCGTAAAAAACCTTTGTTTTTACTTTATCATTGCGTCCGACCACAACTACAACTACACCTGACATATCTATAC